GGGGCAGGAATGAGCTCATTCAGTGGTTGAAAAAGCCAGTCTACAAGGGGACACTGCAGGATAGCCCTGGGTGACAGAAGGAATCCACTTGGAGGGACAGAAGAAGAAAGACCCAGCTCCTGAATCCAGGGGCGGGAGTGCAGGTCTAGTCCCAGGGTGGTAAGGAGTCTGGAGCTCACTCTAACACTGTGTGCCTTTCTGAACAGGGCCACAGTACCAGCCAGCCTCCAGCCTCTTTCACTGTTCCCTCCTCTGGCTTACCCTTAGTGCTGAAGCCTGATGGAACCCCTACTTCTGCAGACAGCTCAGGTCCAGTATCCAGCTAAGGACCTTCAGGATACCTGCTGCTCCTGGGCCCTGCAGGTGGCTGGGGCTGGGCAGGCCAGCTTCACACAGCTTGGCCACCAGATCACCCAAGGCAGCCCACAGGCCACAGAGGTCATGTTATCCAACCCATCAGACCACGGCTCATCAGGGCAGCTGAGCAGCTTTCCTGGTAGCCATGGAAGAAATCGCAGATTAGCAGTAGTGATGGCAGATAGCTGCATAGGAGGTGACAGGCAGGCCTCAGAGTCCTTGTTAATCCTCCGAGGCACAGAGGAGACTGAGGAGGTGGGTAAGAGGAAGAAAAAGCCAAGGAGAGGTAGAAAGGATGGTGAGTCAAAGGGAGTGAGAGACATGAGACAGGGATCCAGGAGGCCTGGACAAAGCATGCATGGCAGAAAGCAGAGCAGGAGATGGGCAGTGTAGCAGGAGAAGGTATGGCCAGCCTCAGAGGGCTGGGTACTGCATGAGGGGGCAGAGGGCCATGGTGGCACTCACAGGTGCCAGGCTGCAGTTAGGCACAGTTGGCCATTGACAAGTCTGCACCCAGCACCTGCTGCCCACCTTGCACCTGCCCCTTGCACCTGCCCCTTAGGTGGTGAGATGGGGACGGCACATAGTTAAAACCAACAATGGTAAAAGACTACCAAGCACAGTTAGGGACAGTGCTGGGAACATGACAGACTCTTGATTCTAGATTTGGGGGCACAGTTAGCAGGCTATCTGAACATGAAGAGGCTATAGTCAGATAGGAAGGCTGGGCATGAGGGAAGACTGAGTAGCAGGTGCAAAGGCCCTGTGACAGGGGATGGCTGTGAGGGAAGTCCAGCCAGCCTGGCCTCTCTCTGAATGTGGTACTTAGATCTGGTTGTACAGGGCCATACAGTGTGGCCCAGGAAGTGGGGTGTAGATGGATGGATGGATGAATGGATGAAGTCCCTGGCTCCTGCAGGTTTGGGTGGGGCTGTCAACACAGAAGGCACAGGCAGGGGCTCCTTCCTATTCCATCCTGCCCTCTTGCTAGGGACCTGTCTGACCCCAACCACCAGCTCCTGGAACTGGCCCTTTGGGGCGCTGTCCAGCCCGGACAGAGATGGCCATGCCAGCAGAGGAGGCGGCCCTGAATTAATCTGTCACTAAGGCTTGGCCATGGCAGGCGCAGTCATGATTTAGATGAATAATTGAAACGCTCCGATACATTTATTATCCCTTTAGTGCAAAAGTGGCAGAGAAAGACGAGGGGTAATTGAAAAAAAAAATGCACAAATCTCCCCGAGAAAGCAGGCTCCTTATCGCCAAGTAAACATTTCAGTGCTAATAAACAGGAGAGGTGGGGGGGGGGGAAGAGCTGTCGATTCCCATCCTGATTTAGGGCCCGCCTCCCTCCTTACCGTACAATAGGAGAGTGTTTGAAACAGCTTTTATTGGGCCAATAACTGGCTTTCCACTGGGAAGTAGGGCAAGGAATGCAGAAGAGTAGGGTCTGGTGGTCACCAGCTCTGACTGGATGCTGGGGCTGCAATGGGACCATCAGGCCACCCTCCCTGGGCCTTTCCAGCCTGCTAGCCTTCCGAACACCTATTCAACCTTCAGGACCCAAGTGCAAAGCTCCCTGCTTGAGAAGCCGACTGTCAAACTGGGTCACCTACAGGCAGAGCAAAGGAAGTCCTGAGTCCTAGCATTTCTCATGTTTCCATGGACAGAGCTCTAGGGAGGAATAGGGGGTCAGGGGCGGCTCCAAACTCAGTGTGCTGTTAGCACTGCCCGTGTGGAGCGAGGCAGGCCCAAGGGTCCCGTCCTCTCTGGATTAAGTTCCTTCCACTTCGCATCCCCTGGGAGGTTTCTCATGAGGTTTTGGGGGGGTGCCCACAGACACCCCTCTTAGCTTCTCAGCACCAAGCCCCAACACACACACACACACACACACACACACACACACACACACGTGCACATACAGAGACTACACTTTCTTTTTTTTCTTTTGGTCTTTTTGAGACAGGGTCTTCTTATAGGCCCAGATGGCCTGGAACTCACAGAGATCCGCCTGCTCTGCCTCCCAGGTGCTAGGACTACAGGCCTGTGCCACCATGCCCAGCAACAATTTCTATCCATACATGCTGGCACAGAGAGAGGACAAGTCTGGAGCTCAGTGTCCTGGATCCTGGCCCTCACAGGGAGGATGTTCTGGTGATAAAGTGGTCAGGAGCAGTGTAAAGGGACAAGTACGTCACAAGGACCCAGTGCCAGGGAGAAAAGTAACACAGTAGCATGCTGGGCAGGGCCATTGCTGGCCAGTGGCTGAGGAGACACAGCTTATTCAGCACATGTATGGGGATGGTGGGGGGCAGGTGGGGGCAGCCGAGAGCAGGTATAGGCCTGAGCTACTGTAGGAGGAACCTCGGGCTCCCATGAGGGTCTCAGAGCCTGTCTAGGGTCAGAGTTGGTGATGGGGCAGCAAAGGTGTCAAATGTAAAGGCAAGACGCACCTGGGTATCTGGCCAGCTCCATTTCACCTCAGATGCCAGACCCAACCAGTTCTGCCTCAACCCTCCTCGGGCTCCTCCTGTACCTCCACCTGTTCCAATCACATTAACAGAGTGACAGCCCCAGCCGAGCAGTGCCGAGGTTCCATAAATCTCAGTTGCATTGAAAGGTTGGACTCCAGGCCTACTTCCTCCAGGGTCACCACCCCATCCATCTTCAAGTCTGTCAAGCCTCCCTGTACCCCCAAGACTGCAAAGAGTACCATAGCACCCCAGCATGCCTCTGGACACACACACACACACACACACACACTCACACCCCTACACACACCTGATTAGGGCAGGCACTAGGATGCCTACAAGCCACACCCCTTGCTTTGCTCAGCCTGCAACCTCTAAGTTTCCTACAGGCTGCTCTTGGGGGCCAGTCCATCCCTTAACGTGTAAGGCTGTCCCAGACCCACTTCTGGATGGCTCTGCCTTTCCTTCTTGAGGGGAAGAAGTCAGTGAACATAGTAAAGAATGAGTCACACCACATGTTAGTTTGGGGAAAAACAGCCACAGCACAGTGAGCAGTCAGGGTGGACCAGGGAAAGTGGGTGCCATCTCAGCCAAGGGTCAGTGTGGGCCCTGCTGAGAAAATGACATTTAAGTAAAGGCTTGTGAAAGGGAAGGGAGGAGGCATCTGGCAGCCTCAGGAAGAGCATTTTGGGCAGAGGGAACAGTTAATGCAGAGACCCCAAGGCTAGAGTGGGTCTGGCCTGTTCCACAGTGTAAGGAAGCAACCATGGTCCAGTGGGCAGGGCCTGGAGTACACAGGTGATTCTGAGAGGTTCCTGGGGACCTTGTGAGTCACGGTAAGGGCTTTAGCTGTGATTCTGAAGGAGGTGAGGGTTCAGAAAGACCCATGCATTTTTGTGATCTTTCACCTTCCCAACTTGAAACTCTGCCTTCCCTGCCCCTCGGCTGGAATCTCAGGCCTTTGATTAGCAGAGGCTCCCCAAAGCCCCTTGATCTCCCCCAAAGCCCCTCTCTCTCTTCCTTCACATCCAGGTCTTTGCATGTTACCACTGTCCAGGACACCCCTCCCACATCTCCTTAGCAGTTCAGTTCAGTCTCTGCCTCCTTCCAGAAATCTCCCCGATGCCCAAGATGAACAGGTACTCCAGGCTGAGCTGCCGTGGTGCCTAGGACCCTCGTCTCCTTGCCATCTCCAGTGTTCTCATGGATACCGGGAGCTCCACCTGACAGACATCAGGCCTGTCTCCCAGGCAGGCTCTGTCAGTGCCCAGTTCAGGGTCCTCAGCACAGTAGGTGCTGAGTGCTGGGTGGTGAATGAATGGACAAGGGGAGGAGAGCTACAGGTGGGGCACTATGGGCAGGGCATTCACCACAGAGAGCCTGGTCCTCTCAAAGGGCAGGTCCTCAAGCCCCGTCCATGGGTGCTCAGTCCCCATTCTGGGTAGCGGTGACCTCCACAGGGACAGCTAGAGGACAGTAGTGGGGGGAGGGAAGGCATCTCCAACTACAAACAGCTCCCTGCATCCTGGCTGGTCACCGACAGCTCTTAGCGCTGTGCTTATTTATTCCTGACCTTCTCTGCCCCTTTTATTTCCCCCCTTTTAAAACCTGGCCTGGACCCCACCACCACTGCCGTAAACACCACCCCCGGGATTTATCCGACGGCGCATTAACCCCTGGCCCCTGGCTCACCAATCATCCTGCTGCTGTGCAGAGCAGCCGCCGGGCTGGGGGCTAAGGGGCTGGGTGGACAGCAGGAGGCTACTGGAGGCAGGTGTGGGGCCACAGGGATGCCCCTCTAGGAATACCGGATGCATTGGCCTGTGTCCCTGCTGGCCAGCCATCCTGATCACCACCAGAGCTGCTTCATGGTGGACATTACAATAGCACACAGGGGCATCCTCAGGGTCCCCTGTCACACACCCAGCTCCTCACAAGGTGTTGCAGTGCTCACTCTGTGCTGGCCTGAGCTGGGTGCCAAGGCAGACACTGCCTGGTAGAGTACCCGGGAGTTTTCAGGGTGGAAATGGATAATGCAACAGAGAATAATTTTGGCTATGGGGACACCAGAGGGGCCTGACTGAGACAGTGAGATCATGAAGGATGAAGCAGGGGTTACATACCCTCCCCCACTCCACCCTCCCCCAAGACATTGGGAGTCCAAGTACTTACCACCTCCACCTCCCAGCAGGGAACTGTTGGCTGAAAGGGAGAGAGAGAGAGAGAGAGAGAGAGAGAGAGAGAGAGAGAGAGAGAGAGAGAGAGAGAGAGGCGAGTGAGTATG